TCAGAGCGGTGAGAGACATATATTTTATATTATTACCTATGGCATGTTACCTATCGCTTCGAAACCGCAGTCCGCCTTCCAGTCAGTCGTCAGATTCCGTACAACTTTAATTTAATTTGCCATTTTGGTTGGCTTGATAGTTGATTATACCATTGGAGAATGATGCAGCTACTAGCAAGTTTAAGAGCTGATGTATTTGTAGTGAAATGTAGTGGCGCAGCGGAGCGGGCGCTGGCTGGCCGGACCTGGCCGCTGGCCGCTGCCCTGGGTACGGGCGGCCGTCACGCGCCCGCCGACGGTGAACCTGACACCGCAGGGGAATGGGGTCGGTGAACTGACGCCGCAGGGGAGGGGGCGGAGGGCACGCCCGGCCATTGTTCGGGATTAAGAGGCTGAGTCAGTCGGGAGTCAGGGCTGAGACTGGAAGGTGTTGTTGAGCGTGCTGTGGTGTGGCCGAGATGGTGCAGAAGACCGTGCTTTGTCTGACTTTGTAAGCTTGGAATACTCACTTTTTTCTTGAGACCTTTGAATTTGCCGTGTGGACGAACTGTGGTGATCAGAGACAACTCTTACAAGCTATTTCGGCACCTAATATCATGGCCAGTTTTGATGTCAAATTAATTCCGGAATTCGACGGCTCCGGTGACGTGCTCGACTGGCTGGAGAAGGTCGAGCTAGTGTGCGGGCTGCAGGAGCCGCCAGTGAGGCAGACACTGGTGATACCTCTGCGGCTGACAGGAGGAGCATCTGCTGTGTATCGGCAGCTGGTGGAGGCTGACAGGAAGGACGTGGTGAAGCTCAAGGATGCGCTGAAGCGTGCGTTTGCGGTGGATAAATATGCTGCGTATGAGCAGTTCAGCACCCGCCGTCTCCGCCCCGGGGAAACAGTTGATGTTTTCTTGGCGGAGCTGCAGCAGCTTGCGACGCTGTTCGGAGGAATGTCGGACGAGGGCCTGGGGTGTGCCTTTGTGGCAGGTCTGCCGGACTCTACCAGGCAGATACTGCGAGCCGGAGCGCGCATGGAGTCGTTAAAGCTCTCGGAGGTGGTGGACAGGGCTCGCGCCATCTTGCGAGAGGAGAACGGCGCATCGGAGGTGGCAGCCGCGCTGGTCAAAGAGTCACCAGGCGGTCGGGATCGCGGCCGAACCGTTAGTAGCGGCAGGAGAGAGCGCGGACCTTGCTTTACGTGCGGCCGCCTGGGGCATCTCGCCCGTGAATGTTCGGCCCGCACTGGCCCCCGCGAAATCCGGTGTTTCCGGTGCGACAAGATTGGTCACATCGCAGCTCGGTGTCCGGAAAACGCGGAGAGAGAGGAGGATCGTGTGCCGGCCTCCTCTCGGGATTAAGATGGAGCGGCGCACTACCAACGAGACACCTGAATGTGAACGGGGTGTTGTGTGAGGTGTTGATCGACACGGGATGTACCAGAACGGTGGTTCATTCATCGCTCTGCGCCGAGTGGAAGAGGCGTTCTGTGTCCATGGTGACAGTTAGTGGTCAGAGACTAGACTGTGCGGGCACGGCTGAAACCGATGTTGGGGTACCTGGGGGTGATGCTGTGGTGCTTGATGCGTTGGTTGTAGCGGTGAAGCCGCTGGGTTTCGGTGCAATTTTAGGAATGGATGGTGTGAAAGCTCTTGGGGGTGTGACCGTGCGTTCTTCTACTGATGTGCGATTTGCAGGCGAGGGAGACGTGTGCGCCGGAGCAGGAGGCTCCGTGGATCTAGCGGTGGAAAAGGAGGACTTTCGAGTCGTGTTCGATGCGAGGGAAAGGCGCTGGACTGTCGAGTGGAAGTGGTCGGGAAAGAAACCGCCAGATCAACTGAAAAACGGAGTGAGCGAGTACCATGTGACGGATGAAGCGAGAGAGGACTATGAGAGAGAGCTGGAGACGTGGATCGAGAACGGGTGGCTGCTGGAGTACGACGAAGAAAAGCATGGCTCTCCCAAAGGGTTGATACCGTTAATGGCGGTGGTTCAAGAGAACAAGGCGAAAGTGCGGCCGGTCCTTGACTTCCGGGAAATGAACACTCACGTCGACACGTTCACGGCGGACGTTGACGTGTGCAGTGAGAAACTTCGTGAATGGCGCCGGACGGGTGAGAAAGTGGCACTCCTGGATCTGAAGAAGGCGTACCTTCAGATACATGTGGAGGAGTCACTGTGGCCCTATCAGACAATCGAGTTCAAAAACAAAAGGTACTGTCTGACGAGACTTGGGTATGGTCTTAATGTGGCACCCCGAGTCATGAAGACAGTTCTGGAGACAGTGGCGAAGCAGGACAAGAATGTGGAGAAGGCAGTATCGTCGTATGTCGATGACGTTCTGGTCAACGAGGAGGTAATGTCGGCTGAGAAGGTGGCCGAGCACCTTCAAGCCTTCGGTCTCGAGTGTAAGGACCCCGCTCGCGCACAGGAAGGCGCTCGGATTCTCGGCCTCCGAGTCTGGGGGGAGCAAGGCGCACTCATGTGGAAGAGAGACAACGATGTCCGAGAAGCTGCCGGACCGGTGACAAAGCGGAAAGTGTTCTCCCTCTGCGGGCAGCTGACGGGGCACCTTCCGGTGTGCGGCTGGCTACGGCCGGCGACCTCGCTCCTCAAACGACGTGCGAACAGAGCAGCAAGTGGCTGGGACGACGAGATTGACGACCCGGACGTGGAGCGTCTAATGGACGAAATTGTGAAGCGGGTCAGAGCAGAGGATCCTGCCAGGGGACGGTGGGATGTGAAGGGCGACAGAATCACAGTGTGGACGGATGCCAGTGCTCTGGCCATGGGAGTAGTTGTTGAAGTGGGTGACGAAGTAGTGGAAGACGGGAGCTGGCTTCGCCCCGACAATGGAGTACAACACATCAACATGGCAGAGCTAGACGCGGCCCTGAAAGGCGTGAACATGGCCATCCTGTGGGGCGCGGAAAAAGTCCGGTTGATGACTGACTCACGGACGGTGTACCACTGGATGACCGACCTCCTCAGTGGCAGGGCCCGACTGAAGACGAAAGCTGCCTCTGAAATGTTGATAAGAAGAAGGCTAAGCACCCTCAGGATGCTCGTGGACGAGTACGAGCTGGACGTGAATGTTCAGTGTGTCTCGTCGGCTGAGAACAAAGCGGACGCACTGACGAGAGTGCCGGACGCCTGGCAACGGGTGCTTATGTGCAAAGAGGAGGCTGCAGCATGCGCTGTGGGAGACGGTGACGACCCCGACAGGCTGGTGAAAGAGGTGACCCAAATTCACCACGCTTCTGGTCATCCTGGTGTCCGGAGGACGCTGTACTTCGCTAGGAGGGCGAACAAGCTCGCTACGAGACGACTTGCGCAGGCCGTGGTGTCGGCCTGCCAGACGTGCAGGTCTGTTGACCCCGCTCCTGAAAAGTGGCGCGAAGGCCGCCTGGAGGTCGACACCACGTGGGACAGAGTCGCCGTCGACGTGACTCACCATCATGGGTGTCTGTACCTAACGGTGGTGGATTGCGGCCCATCCAGGTTTGCGATCTGGCGTCTCCTGCGGTACGAGACCGCCGCATGCGTCATTGCGGAGCTGGCGGCGATATTCTGCGAGCGGGGACCGCCGGCAGAAATGTTGCTGGACAATGCCACCACCTTCCACAGCAGAGCGTTTAGAGCTTTCGCCAACGACTGGAACGTCGCAGTACGGTACAGGGCGGCGCATGTGCCGTCAGGGAACGGAGTCGTCGAAAGGAACCATCGCTCCATAAAGGTGATTGCGACGAGAGCGAACTGTGGGGTGGCAGAGGCAGTATACAGGTACAATACAACGCCGAAGGACGATGTCACTGAAGCTACGACACCTGCTGGTATGGTGTATCGGTACGACGTCCGAGTGAAAGACGTCGACCCCGTTCCGACAGTGAGGAACGATGGACAGCGGGACAGCCGCTACCACGTCGGAGATGCTGTCTGGGTGAAATCACCGAGAGCACGCTGTGACGAGCAGTATGGCAGGGGAGTGGTGACTGGTGTGGTGTCACCGCAAACTGTCGAAGTTGACGGTGTACCAAGGCATGTCCGTCATCTGCGTCCGCGTGCAGACGAGGCAGAGCAACCAGCTTCCGCAGAGGCAGAGCAACCAGTTTCTGGGGATGAGGAGCCCTGCTTTGTACGGTGTCCCATCGACCGGCATGACCGAGACGACCAGCAAGACCAACAGGAGGAAGCTGCGAGTGACACAGAGGCTGGGCCGAGGCGAGGTACGCGGGCTCGGCCTGTCACGCAGTTGTACGGAGACCCCGTGCCGAGCGATGTCTTAGATACCTACGTGTGAGCGTTGTTAGCGTGTGATGTGAGCACTAGCGTCTGTTGGTTGCGATCAGGATCGGGGGGGAGTGTAGTGAAATGTAGTGGCGCAGCGGAGCGGGCGCTGGCTGGCCGGACCTGGCCGCTGGCCGCTGCCCTGGGTACGGGCGGCCGTCACGCGCCCGCCGACGGTGAACCTGACACCGCAGGGGAATGGGGTCGGTGAACTGACGCCGCAGGGGAGGGGGCGGAGGGCACGCCCGGCCATTGTTCGGGATTAAGAGGCTGAGTCAGTCGGGAGTCAGGGCTGAGACTGGAAGGTGTTGTTGAGCGTGCTGTGGTGTGGCCGAGATGGTGCAGAAGACCGTGCTTTGTCTGACTTTGTAAGCTTGGAATACTCACTTTTTTCTTGAGACCTTTGAATTTGCCGTGTGGACGAACTGTGGTGATCAGAGACAACTCTTACAGTATTCGACAAATCTCTGCTACCGGACTGTTGGTCTTCGGTCTTGAAACAGGTAATTCACAGTGCAAAGTGACCATACCAACGAAGCTCCAGATGCAGCTAAGTGATAGATAACCATGGTCGACTAAGGTGGATGCCGTTTCCGACTTTCCAGCCCATTCCATTATTATGTAATATGTCGTGTGACTCGTGTGCGAGCAAAGTTGCTGGCTTGCACAGTGCACACCCCATCCCACCATCCCAATATACTGACGCCGTTCTTTCTGCTGCGTTTCAGGCACGGGGACGGGCGGCGAGAGCATCTGGGGCGGCGAGTTTCAGGACGAGTTCCACCCCTCTCTGCGACACGACCGGCCGTACACGCTGAGCATGGCCAACGCCGGGCCCAACACCAACGGCTCCCAGTTCTTCATCACACTCATACCGACGGTAGGTGATGTGTGTATACTATATTATACATACAGGGGACGCCGGGCCCAACACCAACGGCTCACAGTTCTTCATCACACTCATACCGACGGTAGGTGATGTGTGTATACTATATTATACATACAGGGGACGTGGGGCCCAACACCAACGGCTCCCAGTTCTTCATCACACTCATACCGACGGTAGGTGACGTGTGTGTACAGCACATACAGGGGACGCCGGGCCCAACACCAACGGCTCTCAGTTCTTCATCACACTCATACCGACGGTAGGTGGTGTGTAATGTATATCATACAGGGGACGCCGGGCCCAACACCAACGGCTCTGCATCACACTCTACCGACGGTAGTTTGATAAGTGTCCCAAAAATGTAGATCGATATGTATCGTTTAGGTCGATGTGTGTCGAGCGTCTCTGAAGACGCCGGGCATCCCCAGCTGCCCGTCGCCAGTCCCCCAGAGTCTCAGGACTCGTCCTTCGCAAACATTTCGCCGAGCGGTGGAAGTCCCTGCCACCGGCTGCTCTAAATATCGGGCTGAAGGACTTCACCGCGCCACTGGGCAGGTACTCCCCGGCTCCGGCCTCTCAATGTGACGCGGCCGCGGCACTCCGGCTCGACCTCCCCGAGTGCAGATTGGCGGTGTGGGGGGTCACCTTCGCCGGCTGCAGCGCCGCCCCCGCCCCCGCCCCCGCCCCCGCCCCCGCCCCCGCCCCCGCCGCCGCCCCCGCCGGGCGGTATGCGGCGCATTTCCGGCCGGCCGCGGGCGGCGGGCGCCGAGCTTTCGACACGGCAGTGATTCGTGTGGGAGGAGGCCGCCATTTAGGGAGGCAGAAAGAAAGCAAACGAATCGCGGCTGAATGCCTGATAGCTCGGGAATAGGCTCTGATTTACACGGCGTATGTTGCACTAAGGCGTATTGTATTTAGCTGGGTATTTGTGATCCGGTGCTGTTTTCTGACGGTGCAGCCAAGGACGGGACACGAGTGGACGGTAGTAGCTAACTACCGCCGGCCACATCCCAACATTATGCCAAATCACGCCTACAGTGCAAACATTCAGCTAGGACTCACCCCGTGGCCCGTAGGCCTCTGGATCGTCGTAGTTTACATGAATTTATATCAAGCATTCATGAGTTGCCTTTTTCACAGCATACAGGGTGTCCGGAAATTGATTGCACACTGTCGATATGCCCGTATCTCGCACAGGCTCCCGCCAAACCGGTTAGGGAGGGTCGCGACCCCGCCCCCGGGCACCCCAACGTGTCAGTTGATCGCGTGACCCAGCAGGTGACCCGAGCCGCAGTGAGCGGCCACAGGTCATTTTCCGAGAGGCAGTCTTCGCGCGCGGGCCCCATATCGGGAATGGTGAGGGAGCACACTTTGACGACGCGCCACGGCGCGGTTGGGATGGTTCAAGCCGGGATGACGGTAGGCGATGTTGCCCGACAAGTGGGCGTATCTCGCCGGACATTTCATTACTGGCTGGCTCTCGACCGCAGCGGTGCATCACTGGAGAATCGCAAGGGTCGTGGGAGAAAGACTGTGCTGAGCAGAGTGGCCAAAATCGTACTCGCCAAGGCCGTGCTGAAACGACGCCAATCGACGCGGAAACTGGCCAAAAAGCTGACTGAGAAGGGTCACCCGGTGTCGAAGACCACTGTTCACAACTACATGACCAAGTGATTGGGTCTCAAGCCGCTAAAACTGCGCCGCCAGCCAAAACTGGCCGAAGCCAAGAAGCGGAAAAGGCTGGCATTTGCCCGGGAGCGGAAGAACTGGACCATCCAGGACTGACGGCGCGTCTTATTCAGCGATGAGTCGGTGTTCGAGCTCATGCACCCACTGAATCGCCAGAATGAGCGCGTCTGGGCGCACAGCAGCGCTGAAGTGCCTGCCATCGACACGGTGAAGCAGCCGCTGAAAGTCATGGTCTGGGCCATGATGAGTCATCAGGGCCTGTCGGAGCTCCACTTCGTCCCCCGCGGCCAGACCGTGACGGCCCAGTACTACGTGGAGGAGGTCCTGAAGAAGTCGGCAGCGTCGGCGATGAAGCGGAAGAGGAAGACGGGGCCGCCAACACAGGTCGAGCTGCTCCCGAAGATGTCCGAGGCGATCTTCCAGCAAGACGGCGCTCCGGCTCATCACGCCACCAGCACTCAACAGTGGTGCCGGGACAACCTCCCAGGGTTTTGGGAGAAGGGCGTATGGCCGGGCAACAGTCCTGACCTGTCGCCCATCGAGAACGTGTGGGCTATCGTGCAGAGCGAGCTCGACATGATGGAGCCGGCTACCACCGAGAAGGCGCTAATCAGGAACCTCCAGCGAGCGTGGCTCAGCATCAGTGCAGAGACACTAGATAACCTAATGTGCGGCATGCCCGACCGTATGAGGGAGTGTGTGCGACTGGGTGGAGGGTATATCGGCAAATAAACCATAAAACATGCTCGTTTTGTTTCCTTGTCAAATGTACTAAAAGAGTGTGCAATCAATTTCCGGACACCCTGTATAAATAAGTAAGTTAGATAAGGTAGACCAGACAGATAGCAGATTGCATACACTTACATAAATCGTGGTGTATTTATAGGTTATCTATTGTTCAAATGCTCTGAAGCATGGTGTCTATTGACTATTTATCACATTCACAGAAACCCAATTCGCTGGGACTGAGAACTGATTAATTAATTAATTGAAGGGCTCAGGGCTGCGGAGTTGGAGTCGGAGTCGGTCGGAGTCGACAGTTCTGCCCGAAATCGGAGTCGGAGTTGTTTTTTGTAATCCGGAGTCGGAGTCGGAGCCACCAAAAATCCATTGACTCCGCAGCCCCGGTTAAGGCTATCGGAATAATTTTCCTTGAGGTTGCTAGGGGTTTGCTATCATATTAGCACACAAAAACAACTTAGTAATTAAGTACTTTGTTGGCGTAATCAAGTTGATTTTGATCATATTTTAGTTTTAGGCTTAGAAGATCGCCATTTTGTAACACCGAAGCAATGAAGCGATCAACTAGCCTCGCTACAAAGTAGCCGGCGTTAATTCTAAGCCCTTCCGTTGACTTTTTGTGATGCGAAATGTATATCACAGGATAACAACAATAAATGTTACAGTTAAGTTCCGTCGATTAATCCTTGCTTGAGGTTAGGTACTGAGGACATGTGAATAAACGGATTGGCGCGGCATGAATGTCGGACCATTTTGAACTTTTTGTGGAAGTGTATTGTTACGAACTGGTTTGGAATCGCTTTGTTCAAATGCGCTGCCCTTATTAAATTACCTATGCTTTACCTGAACATATACCGGGCAAACAGTAAAACTGTTCAGTGTTCATGCTATGAAACGTCTTCTGTTTTGTTAAATACCTGCACGCGGTGGTGTTCACTTTTGTTTTTGTTTTAAGTGTCTTTGTATACCTCCGAAACTGCTAGAACAATGTGTCCCATTTACCCGGCTTTGCATGTGTTTGCATGTGTACTTACTGTCTTGGTAGGAATCCGTTTTGGCCATGGCCTGTTGTCGCCTAACCGCTGTGTCTCGCGCCTCTGAGACTGTCCGTCTGGATGGTGTCGGTCAGTCAGTGGTGGTATTGGTGTCCCTCCTCTGACCGCGCCGTCCCGCCGCAGCCCTGGCTGGACAACAAGCACACCGTGTTCGGACGCTGCACGCGCGGCATGGAGGTGTGCCAAAACATCGGACTCGTCAAGACCAACCCCAAGACGGACAAACCGTACGACGACGTCACCATCATCAACATCTCCGTCAAGTGAGACGCGTCACGCCGCGCTCACGTCACGTCACATCTCTCATGTCTCATCATGTCACGCCGCTGGCAACGGCAGACCTCGTCACCAGATGTGCCCCGACTGGGTTCCCACGGTCTGCCAGCCCGGTGGGCGGAGCCTGAGACGGGCTCCCCTCCCAGGGTACAAACAAAATGGCGGCCGGAACGGGCTGGGGGCGAGGACGGCGGGGTCTGCCATTTATCGGTGCCAGTGGACTGTTTCCGTTTCGTTCTGTTTGCAGTGGCAATAGCTGATGATTCAGGGCATTCTGGATACATCATAAGCGTAAAAAACGAATTGGATGTTGTATTTCAGGGGATTGTTTCTGTACTGTAGCAGGTTTTCATTATCTGAACTGTGGATATCCCTGTGCATAAGCCAGTGTCCCCTCTCATCGGGTCTTGCTTTGGTTTCACCCAAGTAACCTCGTCGTCTTCACCCGCTCCCAATGACCACACCGGCGTCACGTCACGTCCTGTGTCGTCACGGGCCGCTCGCGTCACACATTGCGTGACCCTGTGATACGGGCGGAGCTGGGCGCCGGCCGCCGGCCCGTTTGATGGCGACTGAAGCACCGCGGCCGCCGCGGGGTCAGGCGGTGTTGTTATAGAGGACGGCCGCGAGTGATGTGCGCCGACGGGAGGGGGACAGGGGGCCCGGTGTCGGCGGCTGTTGGCGCCGCTATCGGTCATCCACAGCCGCGGGGCCGTATCGGTCTCAGCTGATACGCTATGTGGAGTGGCTCTGCGGGTGTTACACTGTGAAGTACCGGACGTTGGTACCCAAACAAGGGGAACCGAGTCTGACTTTCGACGCCACAACTGTGGAAGACGCTTGTTTCACGGGACGGGACTGTCCTACCCAGTGGGGATGTAGGGGCATGTGCTCTGTGAGCCCGAAACGGGAGCTGTGATGAGATGACATAATGACAATACAAACGTGTGTTTGTAAACCTGTTTTGGTGAGGATGGTAATATGCCACGTTTGAAATTAAGACCGATATGTGCGTGGACTGCAGATTAGTTGGAGAATTCTGAGACAGCTTTGAAGATCCGAAATACAGTGCCGCATGCGGTCCCTGGACTGTCCCCGAGACAATCGCTTCTCGCCAGGTTCAATGTCAGATCCGACGCGGTTTTTTGACCGGTTTGACCTCAGAAAGTCCGGGTAAGTTGGACCAACGAGATTCGCCTTATCACGAGTCATACCCCGCTGCGCTCAATAATCGTTACTCGGTATGCGTAGAGGCGTGGAGGCGGTGAGCGTAGAGGCGTGGGGCTTCCATCGAAGTCGTTCCGGTGTCCACCAATAAGCGCTCTTGGCAAGGTGTCGAGTAAATACGTAGATCGTTGAAATCCCTTCCTTCCTGTCGTTGTACTAGGTACGAGTTCAACTTAAATCCTCACAAAAATAATGTGAATCACTAAACGTCACAGGGTACGGTGACCACTTGATCATAGTGGCCCCACTTCCTCCGCCAAACCCAGGAAATACCGTCTATTTTTGTGTCCTTCTACCGCAGAAACTACGACGCTCATACAAAGTTCCCTCTATTTCCTGTGTGTGTGACCGCGTGACGTGATTTGCTCAACGCATAATCGGCTTAGAGCCCGGGATATCCGAGCTCCTAAGGCGCGGTGGACGGCCTCCAGTCGTGTGCTGTGAAAGTGCACTGCAGTGACGCCGGGCTGACCGACGTACACTACATCCCATGCCGCCGCGGTGCTATGGTTCCACCGCCGCGCCGGCGCCTTCCTGACCCCGCCGCCTTATCGGCACATCGGCGGCGGTATTTTATAGCGCGGCGGTTTAGCCGCCGCCCGCGGCACTACACCGCCGCATTCTCCGCGACGACCGCGCGGCAGCGCTCAGCCGAACGGTGACGTCATTTCGCCGAAGTGTGACGTCACAGCGGCGTTCTTGGAAGGAGCGACGTCGCGCTGCGGTGGCGCGGCGGCCCACATTGGAGCGTGCATGGCTGCCCGCGCCGCCGGCGGGACCGGTTGGGCCGCCGAGGCCGCCGGCGCGGGATGGTAATGGAAACTCACCAGTCTGAGGAGTCTGGACTCTTTGTGAAAGAAAACTCCAGACACTGGACAGTGAGCGAAAACAGATGGCTAGAGAGGAGGCGTGTGTTTCCACTTTCAACTTTCAATATGACGCCCGCACAGATCTCATTTTTGCACAAGAAACATCACTAGTACCTACAGAGTATTCAGAGATATAGGTATATGCGCATTAGTTTCCAAAAAGGTAGTTGCCCGACAGTAGCCGTTGGCTCTAGATAAGAGCCTCGCGGCTGCGAACATCAGTCATTGCTGGCTGATTGCATTTCATATCTTCATGAACCATTTCACACGCACAGCGTATCCGTTGCGACCACGTCTCATGTTTGATCACTTCTTCTGTCGTCGAACTTTCTTGATTTCTGCGTTGTCGTGGCCACCAGCTTTTTCATAAATCTACCTCGAATATTTAAATGGATGCGGATAAGCAGAGCTTGTTGCGTAAACCCCGACCCCTACCGTCCGACCGAAGGTTGATCTAACGCAGGCCTACGAGACATTAACCACGGCTTATCAATAACTCATTTTGATCTGATTTTAAACAGAGGAAAATAGTATTGTTTGTTTCTTCCCACTGAACCCCGCGACCCCCGTGCATGTCTACACCTCTTTTCATCGTCCTGCCCATCGCCACTCCATCCCCTTCCCCACTCGTCGGTCGGTCCTTTGTGATTTACCTACATCTAAGGCACCGCCGTTGCACCCGTTGACCCCCCCCCCCCGCCCCGGGAACCGGCCGCCGTGGGTGGTCCGGCTGCCGGGCCGGCCGGCGCGGGGGCGGACGGTGACCTCATGTGCCCGGTCATCGCTGGCAGCCGGTGTGATATGGAAGCGCCGCGGCGGCACCGTGTTGATGTTGTCACTCACCAGATGGCCTTGGTCGCCCCAAAGTGATGGCCCGTGTCCGACTCCGGTGATTCAAAAGATAAATGTTGTTGTTACCTACTGTGCGTTATATCCTGGTTTGGCTGCCATGAGTGCCAACCGTCGGGATATACATAAACATATTTATTTGAGGGTGACGAAGCAACCACTTGTCTTCCTCTTCAGTGTCAATAGTCCTGTGGGCCCGAAGCCAATGCTGGATCCGTAGTAATCAGTACGCTATGTGTCCCGAAGGTCTGACTATTCGAGTAAATGGAAGAAAACTGTTTCCGCTGTAGACGTTCGTGATTACGGAGCGAGCGAAGCGAGCGTAGTCTTTCCTTAGATTAACGGAAATTTCTGAGTATGAGCGGCCAGCCGGCCGTGGTCACGCTTTTGCGAGGCTTATATCTCAGCAACCACTTGACCGATTTACACGCGGTAATTTTTGTAGGGTAGCTTCATTCCTTCTACCAAGTATTGGACTATTCCCGATGCATGTGGGTGACCCCTTATGCACGTGCCACGTGCAAAACGAAGAGGTGTCAGTTTTGTAATTGTTGCAATATCTCGGTAACTACTTGGCCGATTGCGCTGAAAGTTGGCATGTAGGTAGGCACCCACTAGGCACTGCATATACATGTGCCAGAGTTGGGGTGCTGCTGCACGTGCGCACGTGCAGGGGTCGTTTCCAGATCTCGGGAACGGCTGGACCGATTGCGCTCAAATTTGGTACACGGTTAGGGACCGGTTAGTAGGGTGCCGTGCACAAGTCAGTTGGGACCCATTTTGCACGTGCGCACGTGCAGGGTGCCGCTTCCAGATCTCGAGAACGGCTGGGCCGATTGTGCCCAAATTTGGCACATCGCTAGAGACCAGTTAGTAGGGTGCCGTGCACAAGTCAGTTGGAGGTACCCCCTCGCAATTTCGCACGTGCAAGGCCCACCCTCTCGCTCGCTCCGTTAGTCGCCCCAAAAGGCGTTATACTGGTATAACGTATTTTGATTGAGCTTTTAAGGCTCCCATTATCTCTTTATTTGCTTTACATATGCATATTCTCAAATTTAAACGTTAAGTTTTTTCATGGCCACTGGGGACTACTATAGGTGTACGAGTAGTTCCTAAAGCAATTCCTATTACCTATCATCCAATTTATATCAATTTTGAAATAAATTGTGGTTATTCTACATTCTAAAGAGTAAACTGTCTGTAATGTCTGAAAGTTGTGCGTCCTCTTACCGTCGGCGGCAGAATGGGACGCTCTCCTCGTGTGACGTATGGGCGAAGAGTCCCTGGTTATCAGTTCACGGCTGTACTCACTGACCCCGGAGGTCGCTTGCCCGGAACGCGGGCACATGCGGGGAACTGGGAAGAGGCAGGACAGACGGGTTTGGAGCGAACCGGGACTGCGCCGCGGTAGCGAAAGGTCAGAGCAACCGGACATGGGCAGAACTGGTACCTACATAAATGCACAATCCGTGTCTGAATCGTGCAAGGCGAAAGAATGCTGACCATTATACAGGGTGGGGCAGCATAATCGGGAATAAATATCAAACGGGATTATTTGGTCATGAATCTAAAAATATAGCTCCAAGCACTATTTTAGCAACATCCTATCAATCGGTCACCTTTTACCTATCCCTCATCCTATTTGACCGCCCTCGGCGTCGATGACCTTCTCAAGGCGGGTCCAAAAGCACGCGCATGCACGTGCAACCTCCTGCTTGTCCATGATCGCCCATCAGCTTCGTACCTTGCACTGAAGACTGTTTTTACTGATGATAAGTTGTTCATTAAACTTCTACCAAAAAACGCTCCATGTAAAGAATTTGGTCGGATTTAAATCGGCGGAGTTGAAGGACCAGAAGTTTTTGGTTCATCTCAGGTGGAGGTGCCCTACACAATAACATGTCGTCCTCACTGCAGTACCAGCACGGACAGAGTCCTCGTAAGACGTGATTTGGACCGTCAGTGATCCTCTCTTCCGACGGCTCCACGTGAGTCTGCCAGAGTGCGGTTGTATTTACCAGAGGTGCTCATTTTATCCGGGCTCGATGAAGTAGGGTGCACCACGTGCACCTCCCTTGAAGACCACCCATAGGTCCATCACCCCAACAGGATGTTTACTTTGCATGACCGCTGGAATATTCTCGATACAATCCCCTATATGGCATGCCATTCTTTTTTATCGTATTCCAGTCGGTGATAAGATTTTTTGTCGCTGAAGTTTTGAACATTGTTTCTTTTTAATATGCTCAAGTGCTTCTTCCTTATATTCAAGTGAGTCATCTTGTATGTCCTCTGCTAAGAGTTATTTTACGACGATTACGTTAACCTGTTGTCCTAAGTATCCCCACACAATCCTTATCGTCCGTGATAACACGTTGACCTGCCCAGCAACCTTTACGTGGAATTGCAGGGTTTTAAACAAAATGTTCTTGTTTTACTTGTTTAACATTAGTGTCTATGGGCGCGCGCAAAGCACTTGGAGCACCGTCGAACTATTTTGCTGCTCTTTTCCAGGAAGTTGCATGCTCATGGATGTAGTCATGTCAGATGATGCACAACTTTTGGGCGTTTCATTGCCATAATATAATTTATAAAAATAATGCCATGCCTACTCATGATCAGAGCCCAAAAAGCATTCCCGATTATGCTGCCCCACCCTGTACAATGTATGCTCGGCATAGGCGGCGGAACGGGGGGCACCGGGGCACCGTGCCCCCCTTGAATTCTGCAAGGGGGCACCAATAGCAAGGTGCCCCCCCTTAAATTTGATGTATTAGTACCAGGAGCAGATTCGGGAAAACTCCAAGGGAAGGGTCATGAATCGAAGTGGTGCCCCTACCTATACCCAAAATGAAAACCTCAACGGATTTCGGCCACTTAATTTTGGTGGTGCCCTATTTTCAGTTTTCTATTTTCTTTATTTTTGGTTAGTCGTGTGATGACTGGTGCCTCTGCTAGGCCGCTGGTGCCCCTGGAAAGATTGTGGTACCTACCTACCCTGCCCCCTGACAAGCCCACGGTGGGCCCTGGGTGCCATGGGTCCTAACAGGCCCGTGGTGCCCCTGACAGGCCTGTGGTGTCCTTGCTAGGCCTGTGGTGTCCCTGGGCCTTGGCAGGTCTGTGGTGCCCCTGGCGAGCCTGTGGTGCCCCTGTTAGAACGCAGGTGCCCTTAACAGGTTTGTGGTGCCCCTGACAATCCTAAAGTGCCAACGACAGGCTTGTGGTGCCCTTGACAGGCCCATGGTGCCCTTGCGAGGCTGGTGGTTCCCCTGCGAAGCCGATAGTACCCCTGGCAGGCCTCTGGTGCCCCTGGCAGGTCTGTAGTGCCCCTGGAAGACCTGTAGTGCTTTTGCTAGGCCGATGGCGCTCCTGACAGGCCTGTGGTGCCACTGACAGGCCCGTGGTGCCCCTGCTAGGCCTGTGGTACCCCTGGCGGGCCTGTGGTGCCCCTGTCGGCTGTCAGGCCTGTGGTGCTCCTGGCAGGCATGTGGTGACCCCAGGCCCAAAGTCATGACCCATGTGACCTCCCCCCTGGGATTCGCCACTGATAAGTACTGCAATGGCTTCTTGGTAATTTGATACATGTAGGATTAACCCTCGCCAGGCGAGGGCCTTTTCCATAACACGGACGGCGAGGGGGAGGGTTGGTACGACCCCCCTCGCGATTGGCTCCTATGGCACTTAGAAACGACAAATTTACAGGGTAGGTGGGTCCATGGGAGATCTCGCCCCTAGGAAAGTTTGGTGACTCTAAGTCAATATTTAGGGGGTTTTGGGGGTATGAATGCAAAAATTTTGCTTAAACATGTTAAAAAATTTTCGCTTATAACTTTTTACCTAGCAAAGATAGAGCAAAAATAAAAGCACCAGTGAACTCAGGACGTCAGTGCGCATCGAATGGTATACTTTGTTACCAATTTTAGTGAACTTTGGAATTCAGTTGCCGCTAAGCTAGTCCAATTTTCCCCTGACCTTGTACCGGTTTTTGTGACCTGGTGACCTGACCTGAAATGACTGGGACTTCAAATTTTCAGGAAAGGTGCGAAAATGTTGCCCCAGAAGGTATGCCAAATTTGGCGGCGCTACGCGCCGCCGTTTTTACGTTATTTGCGAAAAACTTTGGGGGGGGGTTGCATCAACCCCCCTCGTCGGGCGAGGGTTAATGGAATTTATCAAACGAGAATAAGAAAGAGACAAACACATAGGTACTTGAGGATCAGCTTCAAGTTAACCACACATACGGGAGTGTTCTGCCATTTTCGTTTAGTAAAAAAAAAAAAAATAGAAAAAAAAATCATCGTGTCAGGGCTGTGACGAAAAATAAGTGGCCTAAATCCGATGAGAAAACAGGATTTGGGGGTACCCCTGTAAAAAAAGTTTAGCATTTGGGGTACTAACGGCTGCTATTCGTAGCACCTTTTAGCGTCAAAAGAACCCTACGACGTATTTACGAAGAAGCATGGTGCTAATACTGTGCTAATGATAGCTAACATTCCCATCAAATATTATAAGTTTAGATCACCTATTCTTCTACTGAGCTTAACGTCTACTTCTGCTAGTACCCAGTCCATCAGTGAGTGCTCTTTCAAGCTGGATTTCTAATTAGAACCTTTTTAAGTGTTTTAGAAGTTGGTAATGCTGAATATGGTGCTTACGTTAGTATCACAACAGAACCGGACATGCTTACAGAGGAAACAAATTTGAAATTGGCGCCAAAGAAAGTAGCTAAGCCCTGCTTTACAAATCTCTGGGAGTCTTATCACCAGCCCTTTAGCACGTTTTGACGGCGCAGAGCGATATGCGCATGCGCGTGCCAGCTGTTTCCGGCCACGTGTTGCGCCATTTTAGTGGAGTCCGTTGGTCGTGGTGGGAGTGTGTGCACGCCCAGCCAGCAATTCGGTTGGGGAAAGTGCGGGGACAGTGTTGGGGAAAGCTTGGGGAGAACGTACAATTCCCCTATCGGATCGGGGAACGGTCCGTGTTCCCCATCCCTTCCCCGACTGTATTGGTAATATGTTCAAAAGACATGGGGAAATTACACCGATCCCCGTACGGGGAAAGAGCAGCATTCCCCAATCAAACCCCACTGTTGGGGTTCGGTCGGGTAAAAGATCAGATTCCCCGAACGGGGAAGGGTGCGTTATCCCCGACCCATTTTCAAGAACAGTTTGATTGGGGAAAAGTAGGGGAACTGTTGAAATTCCCCGCTCGGGATTTTACACTTAATCCCCAGACGAATCCCAACCGCCAGTAGGACGTCTTGAGATCGACTTCCAGCATGTAATGCCACAAGTATTCAATAAAGAAAAATGCATCTTGGGAATGCTAAAAGCAGTTTAGGAGCAGTTCTAGAGCTATAGGTTCATGCATCGATTGAAGGGAGATTAATAAAAAAAAAATTAGCGATATAACGATTTTATAACGATATAACGATAAAACGATACCTATAACGATATAATTTTCTTATAATCGTTTTCATGACAGGTGATCTGGCGAATGCATCAAACCTGACCAAATTTGCACCAAATTTCTTTTTCATATCTTTATATCATATACCTATTTATTTCAGTGTTTTAATCGAAAATAATGTCTGATATAATTGATCAAATCGGCACCGCATCTGGACCAAATGCCTACCAATTGTGTACCAGTTACCTATCATGAAAACGGTTATTCGCAGACATTTGATTGAGGCATTTGATGTATGTAATTTTCGACCTAAAAGAGAGGTAAAGCCGTCTTGGTTTACGGGGCCTGCTAAGCCGTGAGGATGAGGACACGCACACGTCATTATTTTGAACGAACGTTGGTGCCCTTATTTCATGAGGTAAAAACAACTTTGACAACTTTCAGGATCTTTGTTTCTTCTCGCACTGCTGTGGCATAAACATTACGTTTTCTTTCTTCTGTCATCACTCATCGCATTGAAATTACAAAAGCATCAAAATTTCAACAACACACTGCCTACGACATACATGTGTCGCCTCAACGCAGCGAGGGGAGGGAAGGGAGGGGTAGCAACGACCGGCCGCCGTCGGTTCCGTCCGCACATCTGGTTGAGGGGCGTCTCCTGTCGCCATCTGTCATCGTGAATGGGGCCGTGCCGACGTGTCAGACGGGACGAACGGGGGAAGTCGGTCCAGAGTCACTGCGCCGCGCGGTTGTGTGAGCAAGCCGTGGGCTAGGTACCGCTCCAGGTCAGACCATGGTTGGCACTGAAGAGTGCGGCGACACTAAAGAGCTGTGAACGAAGACGGTGAACGGCGAGATGTGGTGACCGCTTGACTGACCTGTGCTCAAAGTCGTGATCTACCGTTGGCCGCTGGGGTCAGTGCGTGAGAAGCTGGACTCGGCAACAACGGAGGACGCAGCTCGACGAGGAAGCTATGCTGTGTTGGTAAGGAACTAAAGCACTTAATTGTAACGAATCCATGACAGATATAAAATGACGATACTAACTCAAGTTTATTGTAAAAGACAAAGCTTTCGATACACACAATATCTTGATAACTGTCTAGGATATGCAGAATATGACGTAAAAATGACTAAGGTCATCAACCTCCGTCTGAGATTATCCTTAAATTGCCCGGACAATATAATGTCATCAGCCTAATGCTTCATCTGCTTCTGTTCTAGAGGGACGTCTGCCGGTTACGACCGGAAGGTTTCCGACGGGACTTGGCAGAACCCACAACAGCAGTATGAACCCGGCGTGGAGTTAATGCGTAATTGCTCGCATGAGCAACCGAAGAGCGACTTCCAGGCGAAGATGGTAAGCAGTTTATGGGGGTGGGGGCTAGCTTAGAGCTGTTGAACAACCTGTCCTTCACCCAAGTCTAAAGGCTGAGACACACTCTTTCTGCAGAAAATTTCATGCGAGAGCCCATTAATTAAACACATGAAATCACGATCGCATCAACCACTTACAGGGATGTGCGAACAATTGACGCGATTGTAATAAATAACATGCATTTGAATAGGCTCTCGCATTCCATTTTCTGTCTTCGGGAAGAGCCTGTTTCAGCGGCTCTACTAGACAGCTCTGGAAAGGGATTGTTATCTTGAAAAACTATATAGCAACCGATTTTAATTGTCAAACGGCGTTCATTTATCTGTCAAGTGCTTTCGCGAGGAACTTCGTAAGGCGTAATATAGACGTAAAACATTTATTACCTAATGACTTTTCCTGGAATGAGAAATGTTTAGAAGTACAAATCTAATTATTGAATTTTATTTCCTGATTTAATTAATTATTCTAAGTATATCACATTCAATTTTTAAGCACTTTTCGTGGAAAAAAGTTATAAATAAGTGTAATTTTATAAAATGGCATTCAACATGTTTCAGCGTAAGCTGACGTTTCCATATAAGGACATTTCATGTAGTAGCTAGCTGTAAAACCTGATTGATATACCTACAAGTGCACATATTTTTGTTTTTGTCCACAGCCGCAGAATTCCTGGAGATGCGCTGGGACATGGATCATAGCAAGGTGGCTCTCAGCGGCAGCTGACCGCTGAGATGTGTCTGAAACAGCCAGAAGGAAGACTCGAGTTGTGGATCCAGGGCACTACTGATCGGAAGGCGGGACCAGCTGTAGGGAGACTACAGCAAAGCCGTCGTACTCAATCTGCTGAACAGACTCCTACTGCAGAGGAAAAACTGGAGTTCGACGTGTTAGAACTGGGGTTAGACCGGTTACCAGTGCTCGTGTTCGTCACCTGTTGTTTGTCACTGCTGTGCTGCTGCTGTATGTCATGTTTGCCACCTGCTAAGCGTTCACAATGTATTTTAAGTGAATAATAACCTTTTTAGGGTTTTGCCGAAACGTCATTATTCTTTTCCTCAGGTTAATAAATATCTAAAAAGTTAATTGTTTTTAAAAACGGGCTTCGCTGAGGAAAACTAAATATTATAACCAAATACATATTTCGGCTTTATTGATCAGCCTTGTTCACTGGTTTGAAATACATTTTTCTCAAAAACATGACCTAAAAATTCAAATATTCATATCGTGCCGTCAGTGATGACGATCTTCTAGCTTACGAAAAACCGAACAAATGAATCGTGGTGAAACACATTTCAAGACACACTGTAACAGGCAAACGCACACATGTTCCTATCTCAACGCAATGTCTCAAATAGGGCTGATGGTGACCTTTCCTTTGATGTTGACCTTTCATTGAACAGGGGGTCGGAAAGGTCACCATCAGCCCTATTTGGGACATTGCGTTGAGATAGGAACATGTGTGCGTTTGCCTGTTACAGTGTGTCTTGAAATGTGTTCCACCACGATTCATTTGTTCGGTTTTTCGTAAGCTAGAAGATCGTCATCACTGACGGCACTATATGAATATTTGAATTTTTAGGTCATGTTTTTGAGAAAAATGTATTTCAAACCAGTGAACAAGGCTGATCAATAAACCCGAAATATTTGGTTATAATATTTAGTTTTCCTCAGCGAAGCCCGTTTTTAAAGACAATTAACTTTTTAGATTTTTAGGGTTTGTCTTGATTTGTAACGAGTATATCAAGTACCTATGTTAACCTTTCATCAAATGAAGGACTCCACATAAAAATAGTATAGGCTGTGGTGGTACATACCATGCTTGGCCGACTGTTGTGTAGTGATCTAGTCGCTGAAGCGTCCTGAAAGTCTGGAAATAAACAGGCATAGCCAAATGGATTGGTTCTAATTATTTTCCTGTGTGGTTTTATCATTTCCCTATTGCGGGGAAACAAGTGGACAATTTTGTTTGTATTTATACAAGTATGTGTATACAAATATTTGTATGTTTACGGACAAAATAAATAGTCATTGTCAATTTTAATGGGACCCGGATCTGTTTCCCAGTGCGGTTTTTACTGGCTTCTCCGTACGGGGAAAAAAGCAGACAAGGCAGTGGGGCCATTGCCAAGTCGGGGAACGGCCGGGGTTCGCGCGGGGGAAAGGTCTTGGAACGTTAGGGGAAAATCACGGTTTCCCCGATCGGGGAAGGTCTCCAGTAAGCATAAACCCGTATAGCCGGGTGGGGGAATGTGCGGGGCTCGCACAGGATCTTCTTGGGGAAAATGTTCGAAAGCCCCGTACGGGGAACCGACCTTAACAACGGGTTTTAACCATAGTCGGCGCGGGGGTAGCTTGGGGGACGTTTGGGGAACGCTTGGGCAGTTATACCGTTTCCCCGTACGAATCCCGCATAAAGTTCCCCGTACAAAGTGTCTCAAATCCCAAGCGAACGCTCCGTTTTCCCCAGGAGAACGGTTGGGGTTTCCCCGAGCCTGCCCCAAGCTCGCCACAGGCCTTCCCCGTACGGGGAAAGCTCCGATTTGCTGGCTGGGCGTGCTCCGGTATATGAAGTGAAATGAAGTGAAGTGAAGTGCTCCGGGCACATGCCACCGAGTGATAGCTCTGGAATGATAGCTTAAATCAGCTATTATCGGTGAAATCCGTCGTGCGTGGCATGGGAGTGCGTGCCCCTGCTCCGGGAGGCAGTGAGGTGGAGGGAAGTGCAGTGCAGCAGTGCAGTGAAGTGAAGTGAAGTGAAGTGCTCCGGGGCCGGGTGGTACATGAGCATTTGCCACCGACACATGCCACCGACACCGACGTTGATCCGACATAGGTGAGTCTGACACATTATATCTTTTGACATTATCTTATATTGTTTAAGTGCTTCATATTCTGGCTTTGGCAAATGGCGCTTCTTTGGTCTGAAAGGAAAGCTGTGTTGTTTGCAAAAATAACTAGAGAAATATATTGGAACTGATCCAGTTTTTTTTTTGCTCCAGACATGGAGCCTGGTCAGTTCTTCCGTCGGCTATCACTTATCGATGGAGGACAACTACGACAACAATACGGGGTCTCCGGGACCGTCTATCACTAAACGCCGTCTGGTCGTGGATGGGGTGGAACTCATGGCCATGAAAGGAACGTCGGTTCAGCGACCCTCCCCCCCCCCCTCCCACCTCCCCCAGTCGATCTCGCGTTAATCGTCGGTCACTCATACTGCGAGTGAGCAGGTATAGCGACCTTTTGTTCTTTCCCGTGCGTTTGTTTGTGTATATATTTGCACTTGTTTTTCATGCAGATGATATGAAGTGTTAATAAATGTTCTATTATTATTTTTCTGTTTTAAAATGTTTTGGATGCTTGAAAGATGCACTTACAAGGGAATATTGCAGAATGCAAAAAAAAACAATTATTGAGACTCTAGTTATCACTGACCTAGGATAACCTTTTTTTGCACGCCTTTTCGGCTTTACACAATTCCTTTTTGGTAATTGATGAGTCCTTTTTGCAGTAACTAGTGAAAGCATATGCTGCTAAAGAAAGCAGTTTTTGCGACCTTTTCATGCAGCAGCTTTAACTAGTAAAGATATTCTACTTTCAGCCCCATTGCTTTCGTTAGCATTATTCTACTTGTCGTGGGGTATCAACAGCGCTAAAACGGTTCATATGTGAGTACGGAAGGTACTAACTGCATGCTATTCTTAGCACCTTTTAAAGTTTAGCACCGCTAGGGTACTGAAAATTGGTCTAGCAGGCGTAGGGTACTACATTTAGTACACGGGTGCTAAACAAATATGGGTACTTATATTAGCACATTGACACTAAACTAGATCTCAGTTAAGTACGAATAAAATGCTTAGCTTAGCACCGCTAGGGTACTGAAAATTAGTCAATTGAAAAGTACCTCTATGGTGCTAAACTTTTTTTACAGTGGGTTTGGCTCCTTGAGCTGGTGCCCCCCCCCCTTGTCTCAAATCGTTCCGCCGCCTATGATGCTCGGTATAATGGACATTGTGTTTAATTTACCAATTGAAAGCTGCAGGCGACTATACTTAGTTAGGCGCTCAAACAAAGCTTTTTCACTACTCATATTTTGCGCAACGACCCGCTTAGTGCTGTTGTTCCCATGCGCATCCGTTCGTTTTCAGCTCCCAGACGCGAAAACACTTGTTTATGGGTTATCCGAATTCGTCACAGCTTTCGTACATTTTCACAGCAACCCGGCACATAAGCATGTCCAGTCTGTAAAACGTTTCCTGCTGATTGAGCTAGATTTTTTATCCGCTCCAAGAGGCATGCCCGGACCATCACCAGCTGGCTTCGGCAGTCGGGCTGTGCGTGCCGTCTGTATCACTGGTAAACTCGTGGTAATGGTACAGGTGTTCCACCAGCTCTCTGCGACGCGTGCTCTTATCGGCTTTGGTAATTTTACGCATACAAAATCGACCTGGCTGTCTAAGTTGGATATTATTTTCTGGCTTTTTTTCTTTTTACAGACAGAAGTATCATCTAGCAATCAAATATGTTGTCAGTTATTTCCAATAGCATTGCTCCGCAGGGATTCAATCACAGGTATTGAAACAAGTAACTCGGGCTATAGGGGACAAGGATGCTGTAGAGATACAGCATTCCCTATCCTTGTCATTTGGCTCGCTTTTCACGGGTTTCTTAAAGAAGCTGTTCACAAATACACAACTCGACTGATGTCGTCCAGACGGCCGTGCCGTGGGCGGCGGGCGGCCCTCCCGACCGGGTCGCCCCGGGTCCGGTCGGGTAGCTCTGCAGTCGGCTCCCGGGCCCGCTCCCCGGCCGTGATGCACCGTTTATTTACTCGCGTCTGCTGTGCGCGATGCGGCCACTCGGGTTTCCTGTATCTGCTGCGGCCGCATCCGGTCGGGATTCCGTTCTGTCTCAGCGGCTCCGTCCGGCCGCCGGCTGCACTGAACTGGCTTCACTCACTCCCACGCAGGCAGGGGTGACTCAATGTGGCGTCTTAGCCGTCCCCGCCCCCGCCCCCGCCCCCGTCCCCGCCCCGTGCCGTCTCCTCCGCCACCCCCGGGGGACCGCCCGGGGAATCATGCATGCTTTTCAGTTCCCTTGGTAGGGGCAGCATCACTGCAGGGCTTACACCCCTCCCTCAGTCAGCATGTTCGAACAGACCCTGTTGACGAGCTCCTGTCAAGAAACATCCCAGACAGGGTGGTGGCTGTTGAGATCTCCCGTGATGATAGTGGCATCATTGCTCGGGAATGCATCCAGGCTGAAGAAGTCGACCCGCTCGTCCTGGGCGGATGTTCGGATGGGCGGGCGGTACACATTGTAGATGTCGAGGTGTCTGGAGTGTTGTCTTGCTGTGCTCAAGATGACACGGATGGCACAGCACTCGGTGGTGTCGTCTTGAGGCTGAAGGGGGGAGCTCCTGATGGTGGTGAAGTTCAGACCGTTCCTGACCAGGATTGCAACGTCCCCGCCGCGGACCGGTCCACCGTCCCTCCTGCCTCGGGCCCTTCTTGAGACTGCAGCCGTCTGATACCCCGGGACCGTGAGGGCCTTGCCAGCCAACTGAGCCTCCTGGATCGCCGCCACGTCCACCTTCGTGTCCGACAGCCAACGGCTGAGCTCCCCGATCTTCCCGAGGACCCCCTCCGCGTTCCAGCTGATCACCAGCAGTCGGCTTCGAACTTGGCAGTTGTGACGGTACCTCCGATTCTTGACTCTCCGGCTGTGGCCTCCCCTGGGCACCCATGGGCCGCAGTCCCTCCTGCCCCCGCCGTCGGGCCTCACGGCGGGGGGCGCGTCGCTCACTTAGCTACGCGGGCCCGGGCTGCCGTCGTACGGCGCCCAGGCCCGCGGAGCTCCGGCGGAGATGGTGAGAAGTGTCGGTATGCAGCCTCGGGGCGGCGGGGCCGCAGGGCGTCGACCCCACGGCGTCCGCACTGTCGGGAGCATCTGGGTTCCATTTGGTGCAGCGCGCGTGGTCTTCGCACCGCGCGCGCCTGGGCCCTCGGATCGCCACCGTAGCAGCAGTCGTCGGACCCCCGCCGTCCACCGCGGGGAGGCGGAACCCGTTGGCCGGGAAGGACCCTCAAGAGGTCACTAGCTACCGTCCGATATCGCTCACCAGCCACGTCGCCAAGCTGATGGAGCGGATGGTGGCAGCTAGGCTCACGCACCTACTGGAGCGAGACAACATTATCCCCGCAGAGCAGGTCGGTTTTCGCCGCGGCCGCTCTGCAGAGGAGAA